GTCCAAGAGGAAGTGTTTATCACAAGAGAGTGCTTAGGAGGCTCCAAGAGGCTGCTTGTGGACTGGTGGCTGTTGCTGCTCTAGGGAGATGGCCACATGAGATGTGGCTCCAGAGTGAACATGGCAGGTGTCTAGGCTAAGCTAGCAAAAAGGGGTTAGGCCTGGGAAGGGACATCCTAATGTGGCAAGCCCTACCACTTATTCAGTTCCTAGGTGGCTGAGGAGCCATGTAGCTTTAACCAGTCATCTTGAGGTCAGTTTTCACATCCGTGAAATGAGGAGAAAGATTCTACCAGATGGAGGGTGTGAAGACGCATCATCATTACGGTTTCCGGTCCTCCTGAAGTTCCTTTGTTCTGCCACTCCAGCTAGCAGCCTAGCCCAGCAGGTTGGGGAAAGGCAGAGGGGGTCCACAGCTTAAATTCTGCCTCTTGCCCTCCCTCAACAGAGTTAGGGAGGCCCACCACGCAAACTCTAGGCAGACTCTGTCCTCTTCCCAATCTGTCATCCTGGCTGTGCCTGTCCGTTCCTACAGTCTCTGATGGCTCTCTGGCTTTCACGATAGAAGTCATGATCCATGGCGAGGTATATATAGAAATACTGGTCCAGCCCCGCTTCTCCATCTCTCCAGCATCCCCTTCCACCTCACCTCATGGAACTGCTTTCTTTCACCTGCCCTGAACTCAATGCTTAATGTCCTGGCTCCAGGCCTGGTGTCCTTGTCATCCTTTTTCACTGGGCTGACTTCTGTTTATTCTTCAAAACTCAATCCCAACCATGAGGCTTCCAAGGAACCTTCCCTGATATTCCCCAGATTGGGCAAGATGACTCCCTCTGGGCTCCGTGTGGTACTTGGTTGTTCTCTGGGTAGCAGCTGTCACAATAGCCACTGTATCTCTCACAGTGCCCAATGTACCCATAGCAGTCAGCCCAGGCCTGGCGCTGGTGGAAAGCATTCAGTGAACAAAAGAGTGAAGGACATGGACTTACTTCCAATTGCTCACAGAAGATACCTGCCCTGCTGGTTGGGCCAGAAAATCACCCATGACCCCTCTGCTGTTGTACAAATTCCACAGCCCAGCCCAAGTGGTGCTGTACCAGAGGGGTGAGCACCCCTCTCATCTCAGTATTCAGAGCTAGCCCCACATAGCAAGTCTGACAGAGCCCCTAAGGCTGCCCCCTTGTCTCACAGCAACTCGGCCTGAGATCTCTGCCTGTCAACCAGGCTTGATAGAGAGACAGCAACGGGCAAGTTTTTTGTGGCAAACCTGCTGCTAGAGCCCCCTTCCCCTGGCCTCTCCTCTCACCCTCCTAGAAAGGCTCACTCTGTAAATACCCTGTACAGCTCAAGAGCTGGGGAAAAATTTGTTTTCACTGATGATCTTATTTGCTTCCTCTTAGCAAGAAAATGAGCTGATTTTCTTCTTTACCCTGGCTGCTAGGAAGCTCAGAGCCAAACTTTGTGGTGCTGTGCTGCAGCTCACCTTACTCTAGTGTCACTGATTTAACTCTCCCCATGCTTGGCTCTTTTTCTCTTATTCTCATGGTTTTCGCTTTTATTCTCTTTATGCTTTTTATTTGTAAGGAAAGACGTATCATTTTTAAAAGAAGTAGGTGAAATAATTATAAATATTTTTTAAGTATGTTTTGTCTGGCAGGAATTGGGTGGAAACTTTGGGATGCCTAACCCTGGGGCGTGGATAAGAGAAGAGACACTCAACAGCCCAGGATTTAGAGTTGGGGCCTGGGTTGCCTTCATGAAACTGGAGGCTCTTGGGAACAGACACTTGCTTCCTTCCTGGGACAGGAGCCTCATCTGTCTCCTTTGTCTTCCAGTGCTAGCTTCTTTATAGGACAGTGAGCAGACAGGCCTGTTCTTGAGAACAGGTGTGAAAATTAAATTATGTCATGCAAATCCCATCGCAAAGGGGCCCAACGCTTGCTAAGAATGGGGAAGTTGGCCTATAAAGAACTGCTACTCATTTCACTTTTTTTTTTCTTTTTTTTGAGTCAAAACTGGTTTTCATGGAAGGAGACTGAATCTTTGCTCCCAGAGAATGTTCTCTTGCCCTAGGCCCTCAGCTGGGGGCTGGAGTGATAACTTAAATGGATGGTTTAATTGTTTTAAATCTTCATTTTCCTCCTTGAATAATGAAGGGACTGGACTGAAAGCTCTCCATGGGCCTACTGGCCACAGGCCGTTGAGGTGCTAACAGTGAAAGATTCTAACGCTACACGATGCTAAGTGTCCAGGACGCTGTTCTGAGGCCCTGGGATTTGGCCTGATGGAACCACAGACACCCACTCCTTGGGCTCACACCACCTTTTTATTTATAATGGCTGGAACTTCCCTCCCCATCACAGCCCGGGCTTCACAGGTGGCCCTGTGGTCACAGGATGACAGCCATCTGCATGCAGTGGGGCAGCATGGGGACTGAAGAAGGCATAACTCCTCCCGTCAGAACTATAGCTCCACAGACCAGCAGGAAATCTCTGTTCCCGGGGCCCCCTCTTGATAATCCAGCTTGAGCTCTCTGGGATGGATGGACGGACAGATGGATGGACAGATGGGTGGACAGACAGACGGACAGAGAGACAGACGGAGAGGGTTAGCAAACCTCAGGTGTGGTGGGAAGAGAGGGAAAGAACTGTAGACAGGAACATAGAGGGTGGAGTTTCAGGGACCCGTAGAATTCCCTGTGGCATAGGCCAACAAGGCCCGGTTGCCTATGGGGACTCAGATGTGTGTGGTCTCCAGGGTCAGGGGCTACAAGAGTTCAGAGGGAGTTTCCTACTGCTCCCAACTTACCCTAGTGATCACGGGGCTGGTGTGTTTTCTATGTATCTGAGTTGACTGTCCTTTGTGGGGTCACTGAGAGCTGGGTCAGACATGTCTAAGGCATCAACCTTTTACCTGGCTATGTCTAGTTCCTGTGCGAGGACAGGGAAATGGGGGACCCTAGACACCAGCTCTCAGCCTCCCAGCCCCCATCCCTGGCCGAGCTCAGTGGTTTATTTGTGCTGAGTCACCTGGTAGCAGAGTGGTCATGCCCCTGAACACTCAGTGTTCGTTTGCTGTCATCTGCTTCTGTTGGGGGCCCCCAGAGCACATCCTGGTAAAACTGGCCTGAGAAACAAAGGGTGGATCAGCAAAGGATAAAGACAGGGAGGCTGGGAGACACACAGAAATTCGGGGCATTGCTTGTTTGAAGGCAGAGGCGATTTCTGAGGATGCCCTGAGCGTAGGGCCATGGGCAGCATACCAAGGGTCCCGCTGACGTGTCTGGAGAAGCGGTCAGTATCCCGCAGAAGGAGCCGGAGCCCCTGCCCAGGGCCGTCCCAGAAGAGCAAGCCAATGGTCACTTTATCTGGGCTGCTGAGCAGCAGGAGCCCTGCCTTGTCCTTGGTCATCTTGAGGCTGTGGGGAAATCCAGCATCCTGAGAGGAAGGTAGACATGGAGACACCCACAGAGGACCTTGGCAGTTGGGATGGGAGTGGGTGGGGACTGCCCCCTTATCCTCAGAATTCCTGTTGTGGCCGTGGGTAGGAAGTCCATTAAATATTCTGGGTTTCAGTTTCCGCATTAGTAAACTGGGAACAAAGTTAATTTAGTGATATCTGGTGATCTCAGTATTTATAAGACAAAATAATGGTTCCTTTGTCTCTTAGATTTGGCTTCTCATGAATTTGTTTTATATGATGCAGGGAGTATCTGATAGATTTACTCTGTCTCTTTTGTTTTTATGGCTAGTGCCACTTTCTTTGGATGACTAGTGTTTAATCGTGTGTTTTAATTTCCAGAAGGGCAAGTCTCTTCTCATTCTATTCCCTTCTTTTTTACTTAATGTAATCTTTGAAATTCTTATCTTATTTTCTTAGAAATATTAGGATCCTTCAAGCATGTTGAATATGACCCTGCTGTTACCTGAGGTTATTTTAAATGGACTTACACTAAACTTACACTGTCTTGTTGACATGATTCAACATAAGAGGCGTGGCCTGTTTTTCTTCATGTGTATCTTCTGTAGCTCATATGAGTGTGTGCACTGTCACTGTGATTAATAGGAATTCTTTATTCCATCTTCTGGTGTATGTCCAAGGCATAAAAATGCTATCAATTTTTGTGTATTTATCAGATCATAGGAAACTAAGATCTTTTATGAAATTAGGAAGTTTTCAAGTGATCCTTGCTAGGTGCTTATTCATTTGTCAGGTGGAACCAGTGTCTGCTGAGGGGCTCACTGAGAGGAAGCAGATAAGGCTCTTTGTACTTGGTACAAGCTGGGGCTCTGAGGCCAATGCTCAAAGAGGGCCAAGGTCCTCAGCCTCTCTCCCAAGCCCCTCGTGACTTCCAGAGCCAGAGAGCTACGTCTGGAAGACTCTATCGTGGGGCAGCCCCACCCAAAAGAGGTCGACATCCTCCTTCACTACCTACCAGCTGCCCAGTGCTTGATGCCAGATGGACTGTCTCTTCTCATTGGAGCTTTAAGACTATGCTGAGGATAACACTCGTGACCTCCATGAACGGTGCCCTCCAACTTCTCATTATTGTCATCATTACCTCACCACATACAGAGCTGCCCTCCAGTATACTCAGCAGGCACCACCCCTTTTAATGAGCAAAGTGCTTCTTGGCCACATTCTCCCCCTAGCTTCTAACTCAGGACTGGGGTGATGAGTTATGAGTGAGAAAACAGGCTCAGAGGGGCTAAGTGCCCTATCCAGGGTCATACAGGATTAGCAGCAGCACTAGCTCCAAACCACACTGTCCCCTGCACAGGGAGTGTCCTGGGTTAGGTATGAGGGCAGCCAGGTCCCCAGGACAACCCCTTGGTGCCCTCCAGAGGAGGAGTATGGTGCAGGGCTCTCTGCATCTCTGCCCGTCCTGTGGGCGCAGCCCACTGCAGAGGACTCATGCCCAGCCCAGACACTCCATCCTCAGGCCCATGGCCTCAGGCCACCCGTTAGTGCTGTCACCAGCTAACACAGCCTGAGAGGTCACTGCTGGCACCTAGCCTGAGGCTTACCCAGGCATCACTGAGAACAGTGTATTCTTCCACTTGTATGCAGAGCTTCTTCGATTCTGAGTCACTACCACGTGCTCAGGGGTGGCGTGGACTTGCAGTTGGGGGTTCCTGAAGGTCACCTTAATCCATGAGAACTGAGCCTTCTCTATCTCATAGTGGCCAGTCACCTCAATCCCTGAGAGAGCGGGGAGCAGAGGGGTCAGAGCTATGGCCCCAGCTCGGCACTGGCCTGACATGAAGGTCCTCCCTGATTATGTCCTGGAGAACAGTCCTTTGCCAACTCCCCAGGTCCCCAAAATTCCCTCACACTGGAGCATGGTTTCCACAGTCTTTTCACTTATCCTTTGGTTTCACATGGCTTTGGGAGGGCCCCCAAATTCTCAGTGATGGCTACTATTTAGATGAGCCCTCTGAGAAGGGAGATCTTGTCTGAAGTTAATTAACTTTTATAAAGCCTTCATGGTGTACCTGGCCCTGAGCTAAGTGCCATGACCAAAAGCAAGATAGAAAATCAGTGGTCCCCACCCACAGGGAGCAAAGAGACTCTGGGCCTGGCATGCCAAAGTGGGAGACTGTGTTTGGGTGAGCGTCCCTGAGTGCTGTGTGTTCCCATGTCTGACCCGACACCTCAATTCAACCAGTAAGACCCTTCTAGGGCTTGGGGGCAGGGCTGCCCAGCGTACCTCCCTCCTCCTACTAATCACTTCCTCCATACTCTCTATAGTCCCACTAGTATCTTTCGGGGCTCTGGGCTTCTAACTACCCCTTCCTCTGCCTAGTGGACCCCCATTTGTCTGCCAAGGCCCAGTCACTCCTACGTGACCCTGTGCAGCCTCCCCTGACCCTCAGACAGCCCATGCCTCCGCCTCTGGACTTGTCTCCACATTGCTCCGGGCATTAACTACAGGCCACTATGCTTATCTACACCCAGGTATGTTCTTCCACCCTTGAAGTATGGCAACGCCTGGAGGCAAGCCCACATCTGGTCACCCTGGAGTGCCAGACCAGGCAGACCTGCATATGTGTGCCCAATGCAAGGTCTGTGGGGTGGATGTATGTGTGCAAGTGTTGGTACTCAGGGCGTGACTATGCCGTGACCGAAGACAGGACAAGGCTGCCCATGTGCCTCCCTGGGCAGGTGTCCCACTGCTGGCTCCAGGGTGGTGAGCTGGGGTTGCATGGTGTCTGGGTCTCTCTGGGTGAATGACTAGGTGTGTACCTCTCACCTTGGTCAGGGTCTGAGAGCAGGTTCATTGGCCCCTGAGAATGCTTGATGTCCACACAGAGCCGGTCCACGCTTTGCCCAGGCAGTGGCAAGATGACAGAAGGAGCCTGGGTGAGGGCTGAGGGGGCTGGCAGCTTACCTGAGGGTGGGGATGTGCTGATTGTTTCTGAAAGGAGAAAAAGTCCGGGTCTAGGTATCCCCTTCCTGGGGAGTTGGGGGCAGGGGGCGCTGAAGTATAGAGTAGTGGAGAGGTGTGGCCGGGGCTCATTCTCCACTTCAACATTGAGAAAACCACACTACATGTTCGTAGAGATCCCTGGAGCTCTCTCGTCCCAGGGTCTCTCTGCTATAGGGCTCTGGTCTGGAGGCTACCTGTGATCATTAAATCCATGCCATGAAGCACTCCATCGAAACCTGAGGGGTCTGATAGTAATCCGGGCACTAGTGCAAGAATAGTCAGAAACAGAAAGGGAGAAGGCAGTCAGGATTCAGAGCAAGCAGCATGCCCTCCAGCCATCATGCCGCCAGCCATCCACCAAGGTCCAGCACTGTACCCCCCGCCACACGTACACCCAACCTAGGAAACCCTTTACAAAAAGATTTTCAAACAGAAGAGCATGCTATTAGGCAAAACACTGAGGAAACAAGGTCCAGCCTGGCTCTGTGCCTGTGTCTGAGTCCAGATTTAGAGATCAGAAACAATTCAAGGGATCAATGATGGCTTTGGGAATGGAGGAAGTCTTCCCTTTCTAGAAGGCTCTATCCTGAGCGAGTCTCCAGAGCACAATGAATCTGATTCAGTGAAAATAAAGGACACACTACTAATGTCATGCCCCACAGCAACTCTCCCTGGTCTTGTTGTGCCTAGCCCTGAGCCTGGTGCTTACTCATCCAACTCTACAGGCAGGTTTAATTATCGCCTTGGGGAAACAAGGCCCTCCAAGGTCAGGAAGTGGCTTACCTAACATCATGTCTGTTAGTCTTGGATTCGGGTTCGAGAACGGATAAGAGGAATGACGATGGTGAAGAGGTCCGGGTGGTCCCAATCTCGATGAGAAGTTCTCGGCAGCTACAGTTTTGGAAAAGTTGACACCTGCATTCTCTTAAAGCAGTGTCATGGGTCCCCACGGCCGGGGCTCCGGGACTCACTCCAGGAGAGGGATGTGAAGAGGGAAGATGGCTCCCTTTCCCACACCTGCCACTCTCAGAGCCTCTCTCCCCATGGCCAGGAGAAATGCAAAGCTGGAACAATAAACCTTTCTCGAACTCCTCCCTGCTGGGATATCAGCTGCCCCTTTCCCTGGTAATGCTCCTCTCACTAACTTGTCTTCTGAAGCCTCTTCTGTAAGTGAGCAAAAGGTCTGCATGGTTGCCTCCTAATCAGACACACCTGAACTTGAGTCCCAGCCGTACCACCAGCCACGTGAGCAAAGCAAGTCACTCCCCCCAAAGCCAGGGCAGAGCCCAGTCTGTGGCCAGGGTCAAGGTTCTGTCAATCTCCCTCCCCCCTCCTTCTCCTCCTTTGCTACCTGTCATCCCAGACCTTCTGTTTCCCATGGAATGATATCTGAAGACGCCGTGACCTGGAAATCAGAGAGACCGGTATGTGCATCCCGCTAGATGGGGATTGTGCCCCTAGGGCCCAGGATTGCCAATATCTAAATGAAGAGGTAGTTGATGAAATGCATCAGCATGCTTGGGCAGATGATGCCCCCTCTTGGCAGCAGGACTAGGCTGGAGAGGCCCCGGCCAGCGACCTTGTGGGGCTGGTGTCCTAGGCCCTGTGTCAGCCAACTGTCACCCGGGCCAGTCTTTGAGGGTATTGGGCCTTACCTAAGGGAACGTTCCTGTGTCTGTTTTCTGGATAAAACAAAAAGAGAAGAGAGACAGAGACACACTGTTGAAGTGGTTTTGATAAATTCGACCTTGCTTTCCCACCCCAGCACTGCAAAGATGTAGCAAACTCGGGGAGGGGTGGGGGTTGGGAAACCTGGCCTCAGTTTCCTCATCAATGAAATGGGATGAGTCTCATGGGGATCCTGTGAGTCTGTGTGTGGCAGGGTTAGGGTCTTGGTTGGGATGTCGGGGAGAGGCTGGGGAGAACGCTGGATCAAAACTCTGCTGCCAAGGAGTCTGGGAGCCCACTCTCATACTCACTATTTTCCACGGGCTTCTCAGCAACTTGAGACTGTTCTTGGCCTTCGGGTTTGGTGACTACCATGGATGTGAGGGGGGTAACAAAGCTGTAGTTGAGCGATAAGCCCAGAGCTCGGGTCTTGAGGGCCTGCTTCTCAGTATCTGATGCAGAAACTCTGCAGGTTGAGAGCATCAGAGGCTTAGCTGGTCCCTGAGTGTCTAGATTTTCTCTCCCCTCCAGACCCTTGTGAGGTGGGGTTCCCGCTGGGAGAGTCCAGAGCTCAGACACGATATCACGACCCACTGTCTCCATGCCCAAGAGATGCCCCATGCCAGCTGCACCTGCCCCCGCCCCCCACACCCAGTGAAGAGCTTGGGGAGGCCTTGAGGCTGTGTGTGGCTGCCCCAGCAGGCCCTTGAGGGTACCGGCCACCCACATTTGCTCCAGCAGTTGCTGGATGGTCAAGAATGCCCAGAGTCTCTCCATGAAGTTGTAGAAGATGTACTTGGGGCTCGGGAACTCCTCCTGCTCTGCCATCCCGGACTCCGTTTGGAAGGTGATGTTCTGCATGAGCTGGAAAGAGGGGCCCAGGCAGGGCAGGGGCAGTGAGGGCCTGATGCCCGTACCCAGCCTGGCGCTTCTGAGAACTTCCATAGAGAACGTGGTTGGAGCTGGGGCAGGTCCCATGCACCGGCAGTGAGGACTGCATTTCCTTGGAGTAGAGTAGGGGATAGGGAGGGAGTTTAGGGGTGCAAGGGGCTCAGTCACAGATCCCGTAAGGATAAGAAGGAGCTGGAGAGAAAAGGTAGAATCTATCCCAGGTGCAACACAGGAGGCACAGAGCCAGGAACTCAGATCAGGTGAAGCCTTTGGGAAGAAAGGGAAATGAGGATGGACTCTGAACCCCAGGCCACAGAAACAACAGCAAGAAGGATGCACAAGAGTCGTGTGGAGCAGAAAGGGTCCCCAGACACAGCTCACCCTCACCTCAAAGAAAGAGACATGGGACAGAGAGGGAAGCGCCTTCTCTAGCAGTTGGCAGTGAAGTTGAGAAGAGAATTCAGGTGTCATGGCCCTCACAGGGTTTGGGGGCCCTGTTCAAGCTGGTACCCTCTGCTGCGCCTGGGCGCTCTGCAGTGGTGACAGCCAGGCATGTGCCCAAGCTCTAGACAGGGCCTTCTGGTGTCAGGCTGACGTGGCCAGCAGCTTGGGAAATGGGATCCGGGGCAGAGGAACCCCAGCCCTCTTTGTCATAACGACTACAGCAGCCAAAGACCTTTTCACTGTGGATCGGATCCTGCCTCCCCCGCTGGAACCATCCTCCACTGTCTCTCACCCAGTGCCGGGCCTCCCAAAGCTTTGTCACATGTAGGCCATCTGCACAAATCTTGCCCTATCCACGCATACAGCTATTTGTTTGATGATTTTCTTTAAACGAACTTTAAAAAGACTAACACTCTTTACTTGGCCTTGTCCCAAGCAAAAGTACCTGTGAAATCTTGGGTCTAGGGTTTGAGTTGTATTTTTCAGAAGACACATTAAAATAAATACGTAACTACTAAAAGACACGTTTGTTTGTGGACTACCCCGAGTCATCCTGGGTTCTGCACTTTGGGAACTCTTGGCCTCCGGGATAATACCAGCAGCTAGCATGTATGGAGTGTTAATCCCCTCAGCAGCCTTACAAGGTGGGTAAGGTAACCGATGCTCATTTTAACACAGGAGAAAACTGAGGCACAGGAAGATTAGGTGGCTTCCCCAGGCCTCACCCCTGGGAGCTGGCAGAAGCCAGGCAGGCTGGCCACCTGGCACGCACTGCCCATCATGACACTTGGTTACTTCTTCAGAGACATTGTCCTGGGCCCCCCATGCCTGCCTGCCTTGCCCATCTGCTATTCTCCCCTCACATCCTGCTTGCCACAAAAGCCTGAAACATTCCTCCATCACTCCACCATCTGGCCTCTGCCACCTCCTATTCATCCTGCAGTCTCAGCTGAGCCTCCTCCAGGAAGCCTTTCCTCATCTTCAGGCCAGGTTGGGCCTCCTACTACTGCTCCCCTGAGTTTCCGGGTTTATCTCATCAGGGACACCCCAGCCTACAGCTCATTGTTTGTGTCTCTCTCATGCTGTCTCTCTCATCAGGGAAGCATCCCCAGGGCCTAGGGAAGGATCTGGCATAGGAACAGGTGCTCGGTTTCTCTTTGTGGAATGAGAGGGCCCCCTTGTGGCATAGAGGCAGGGAGGGCACCATGTGGAGCCAAGCTCTTGACCCAGCTGCAGTGGGGCCCAGGGCAAGCTGCCTGCCCTGCCTGGACCCCAGTCTGCTCCTCTGTGCAGTGGGAGCAGCCCTCCCTGTCTGAGTGCAACCTCAGAAGGCTGGAGTAAGGACAGGAGGGGATGCCAAGCACCTGGAGCCCTCTGGCATAGCAGGAGCAGTAGAAGCACAGACTGACCACTGAGTGTCTACATTTGCAGGCATAGCATAGTTGCTCTCAGGGGAATCACATTATCTTGTTGAATCTCCACTACGAGCCCTGTAGTAGGGACCGATGTCATCCACAATTGGCAGGGAGCAGTTTGTCATTTGCTCATGGTCAGTTGGCTGGAGTCTGGCAGGGCTCAGGTTTGAACCCAGCTCCTCCAAATGCCTGCTTCAGCTTCCCTTCCTCTCCAGGATGGCTGGCCACACTCACCAGCTGCCCACTGATTTTGGCTGAGAGCACATCAGGGCTCTGGTCCCGGAGCTTCCCGGCCACCACCATCTCAGAGCCCTTGAAGAGCAGCCGGAAGTTGTCCTGTGTGACATCCTCCACGGCGTTGCTTGGGTACTCGAAGGCCACCGCTGTCAGCAGTGGGTTGGCCACCTCTTGGTAGAAGTCCTGAAGGATAGGGGGTGTCATGAGGTCTGGGCTGGGCTCTGCCTGTCCCTCTGAGCCATCCCTCACTCACGCAGCCCACTGGGGTCAGGCTGGCACCTGGAGCTGCAGGGCGGAGTCTGAGTCCTCATAGATGCGCCGAGCCAGGCCGCCGTTGTCCAGTGCCAGCCTCTCCAGAAAGGCATAGCTAACATCGAAGCCAAAGCCCAGGCAGAAGAGGCTGTACTGGCCGCCTATGGCATCCTGCACGTTCCTCTGGATCTTCTCAGGGCTGGTCTCCCCTGGACCCAGCGGTTTGGGAAGGGGGTGAGAAAACAGTGATTTGCTCAAGGGATATTTCTAGAATCTCAGAGCCAGAGGGGCCTCAGGAATCCCTCCGCCCCCCAGCCTCAGGTCCCATAGCAAGCCATTATGGAGGCCCAGCTGCTTCCTCTGGGCAGTGTGCCCTGGAATTGCTGGCAGTGCCCTCACCCACAGTAGGGTCGCCATCGGTGAGGAGGATGATAAGGGAGACACTCCCTGAGGGCAGGAGCTCCTCCCGGGTGGCTCTTTCCAGCAGCTGCACGGCCATCAGCATCGCACTGTTGATGTTGGTCCCTGAGGAGCACACATTCTCAGGATGGCTCCTAGGCGGGGTTCAGTGCCTTGGAAGCCTCCACCCTGCAGGGTTGCAGAGGCACTCACCTCCCTGGGCCTGGATGCCAGCAGCGTAGGTCCTGGCCTCCTTCACATTCTCGGCTGAAGCTGGCACCATTGATGGCTTCCACTGGGTTGCTTCCTCACTGAAGGGGACAAGGTTGAACTGGTCTTTGGGGCTGAGATCATCCAGGATCTTGATTAGGGCTTCCCGGGTCTGGGCAGGGGAAGTGGAGACAAGGTGGGTTTCTTAGGGGAGTCTCGCTCATGTGCCCTTGGTCTGTACTCCTGGGCCTGCATCTGGAGTTGGGACATGGTGAATGCTCTAGGGGAAGGATTTGGCCCACACTCTGACCAACCTTGAATCCTGGGAGCCCCCTACCCAGGAAGATGCCCGAGGGAGGGTCTGCCTGCTGGACCAGAGCTGATGGTGTGAGGCATGTGGGAGTATTCAGGGCCCTGCCCTGGCCCACGGGACCCACCTGCTGGATTTTCTTGCCCCTCATGGAGCCACTCTTGTCAATGACAAATATCACGTTCTTGGGTATCGTGGGCAGGCCCTCGGGGGCAAAGTAGTGCACAAAGTAGCCATTCTCAATCTGTGACCAGAGTAAGATGAACCCCAGGTGATGAGAGTTGCAATCCTGCCCTGCCCCCACCCAGCTTCCTCACTCCCAATCTTCGGGTCCCCATGCTCTGTTCATTCCAGCCCCTCTATCTCTGTCCCACTGCTATCCTCCCCCAATCCTTGCCATCTTTTAGGGCTCAGTCTTTTAGGGCTCAGCCCCTTCTTGCTGAAGCCTTCCCTGCTCACACATGGCCCACAGGAACTCTACGTGCACTTTACCTCCTATTTGTTTGAGGACTTGAGGTAGCTTATACCAAAGTTCAGACATAATAAACCTGAGATCCAAGAAAAGAATGAAGACTCCAAAAAACAATGTCAATCAAGAATAAAGGGGAAGCACAGAAACTTCTGCAAAAGAAGCTATTGCAATTGAACATAAAACTGAGCTGTGAGCCTCCTGGCAACCAAGGCAATAAGAGAAATGATGCAGGGCAGTTCTTTAGCAGAGATGAAGTGTTTTTGTTTTTGTCTCAGAAAGGGAATTCTTTCAGGGACCACATAACTAAACCACTTGTTTTCTGTCTAGCTGCCCCTGGTGCACATTGATAAGTAGGAGCAGTCATTTTGCCTTTTCTTCTAGAACATCTAGTCTTAGGCTCTTAAGCGTGGATAGGTTTCCTGGTTGTCCTGTTCTCGCCTGGAGCCCACACACCTGAATGGAGCCCCCGGAAAGGGTCCGGTTCACATCGTAGCGGACGATGAAGTTGCCATTTATAACTGTATCCTGTTGCTCTAGAGACTTCTGCTGCTGGGAGAGCGTTGGCTTGAATAGGATGTGAGCCTGGAGAAAGGACCAGACTGAAGTTGAGAGGAGCAGAAAGGCCATGCAAACACCACCTCTCACTTGGCCTGAAGTGAGAATTCTAGGATGCAGCCTTGGGTCAAATCACAGGAAACTTTCTTTCAGGCTGAGCTGTCAGATAGACTGCCTCCATACAGGGGAGAGGGCGTGAGCATGGAGCCCCTGCTCCTGGAGTTGTGCAAGCAGAGGCTAAGCTCAGGATGTGTACAATCCAGCTATCTCCTCCTCTCCCCCAGGTCCTGGGACCCTCACATCAGCATCACGTCCAAGTCCTTCTCCCCTGATTTTAGGGTTCAAACCAGCACCCGCTGTCCTCCTCTAGGCCTTGCCCACCCCGTCTGGCAAAGGATAACATGGATGCAGAGACTTCAGAAGCCTGTCCAGCTTAGAGATTCTGCTCAACTGTCCCATTCTCTGGAAATCCAGGCTCATAGGGCTGGCTTGAGGACAGGCCCCTTGGTACCTTCGCCCACTGACCGTGGCAGGCCCACCTTGGTCTGGGTCTGTGAGGTGGTGAGGGCATTTTCCAGTTCACTGGTCATGAAGGTGCTCTCTGTCTCCAAAAAGCTGATGCCCTGAGGCTCAAAGATGTGAATGTCCATCTGGAGGCAAGAATTGGGTCACTGGGTTAGCTAGGAGCCAGGGCTAGACCTCACAGGTAGCAGACGGGGAAGGAGAGGCCACCCTCTGTAGCGCAAGGGTCATCTAGGAGCTCTTCTGGGAGGAGGCAGCACCAATACCTGTAGGTGCTTGACCACCTGTTGGGGCTGGACTTTCAGCAGCAGCTCATACACTCCCAGATGCCGCTTGAGCAACTCTTCATACACCAGCTCGAAGGTGACTTTGGCAGCAGGAGCCACACTGACCGATACCTGGAATTGCTCCATCTTTCTCCCAGTGGCCCTGGGGGAGGAGGGCATCAGGTCTGCCCCTCCGGACCAGGTGGGGTATGGGCACTGAAGGTGGAAATAGGGCTAAAGGGTTGAGGGTTGGGGCAGCTTCTGTCACGCCCCACTGGGGTCCCCCGCCACCTCCCTGGGCTCACTTGACAAGGCCAGCGCTCTCTCCCCTGGCCACAGCTGCACTATACTGCTCCTGGGCTGCAGCCTTCTCCTTGATGTTCCCTGGGTAGGTCACACCATCGATGATCCTGGGGCAGGAGAGCAGGTGTTTCTTAGAGCCTGGTGGGGGCAGTTCACTCCAATCCCACCTCTTCCAGAGATCCTCTCTAGGATGTGGTGTGCTTCTTGATAGAATGACTGCCACCTTAACCGTTTATTATGCACAAGACTCTGTGCAGGACCCTGGGTAAGGGCAGGGGCCTCTGCAAGGTATGCCAAGCTTCCATCTACCCTGAGGCATGCATAGTGTAAGTTAACATTTGTTTCACTGAATGGACAAGGGAGGGAGGTTGTAGAAGAGGCAGGGCTGAGCTAAGTCCTGGCCTCTCTTCTCCCTTCCAGTCTGGCCTCACATTCCAGTTGCTCTTTCCATGTCACAGACTGCTTCCAGAGAAACAGTCTGGGGCTGTGTGGGGCAGACTGTAGAAGAGGCAGGGCTGAGCTAAGTCCTGGCCTCTCTTCTCCCTTCCAGTCTGGCCTCACATTCCAGTTGCTCTTTCCATGTCACAGACTGCTTCCAGAGAAACAGGTCAATCATCAGCAAGATGACTGACCTGTTTCTCTGGAAGCCACATTTTTATCCAGCCCTCTGTCCAGCTGTGTGGGGCAAACTGAGAAGGAGGGAGATGCCACCCTCCCAGGCCAGTGGGAGACACAGGGCTAAAAGGCTCTGAACCCTCTCCCCCGTGCCTGTCCCTTCTTCCCAGCAATATAGGGCAGGGGACTCTGCAGAGAGGGTGGCCTCCAGGAAAGTAGGTTTTGGACAACTGCTGGATGGAACTTTTAGGGGTGGGGACACAATCCTAGTGGCCATTCTTTGGGACTGAGAGAACTGCCTGGGCCGTTCCTCTAGGAAGAAAATGACTACTATAGAACCTCCTTGTGAAGGGGTGAACAGGGACATGACAGGTAAACATAAACCTGCCATGTTGTGAAAGGGTGGGAGTTGCAGAGGTAGGTGGGGAAGGGGCAGCCAGGATGTCAGGACCGAGTGTTTTTCCTCCCCACCATCCTGACCTTTCTGGTCATAATTTAAACCTGGGCTACGGATGGGGCTGGTGCACGGGCTGTAGGGCTCGTCCTCCCAGATGACTTGTTGAGTCCTAGCCAGGTCAGGGAGAAGGGCACCCTGCCCCCAACTTCCCTATTTCACTCAGCAGCAGGATCTGGACCCAGAGAAATGTGCAGGTCCTGGGCTCTTGGCAGATGTGCTGGGCCTGGAACCTCGTAATCTGGTGGTCCTGGCACCATGTGAGGGGCCAAGTTCAGCCTATGAAGCTCATGCAGTGAGCTGGGCAGCAGAGCCCCTGGCTCTGGGGTTAGAAGAAGTAGGGGCTGCTGGGATGGGCTGGGCAGGGAGAGGGAGGAGCCAAACACAGGGACCCAGTCCCCACTGCCATTTTTTCAGAGGTCTCAGGGTACACTGGGGACCCTGTGTGAGAGACGCCTGCTCTCTCTGCTTTACCCATCACCCTCCCTGAGTTTATGGGATCAGCCTCCCTCTGGCCTGTTCTCAATCACTGCCTCTCCTGTGGGGCCAGGGACAGACAGAGTTCTCTTGCGTTTAGCAAACATTGCAAAACTGAGTTAGGAAGAGTGGGGGAGGACAGTGTGAGGATCATCACCAGCTCACAGAGTCCACAGAAACCCCAGGGGCCTCCTCATGTGGCCTCTGACCCAGAGCAGAAATGCACTCTCTGCAGTACCTCAGTTGGGGTGTGGGGGACTCGCCTGGCTTAGAACTTCTGGTGCCAAGGAGGTCTCCCTCCTCAGGGCATGGCTCCATTGGGGGGCAGCCCAAGGGTTAGGAAGTTTTCTGTATTCTGAGCTGGAATCTGCGTTTTGGTAACTCCCTCCTGCCTGGGCCTGGTTTCAGGTTGCCCCGAGTCTGTACTCCTCAAAGGCAAAGACACAAAGATGCAGTGGTTCTCCACCTGCCACCGGGGCAGCACTTAGGGATGACGGAAGACAGATGGAGAGAGGGACTGAAGGAGGCACGGAGGGATGGATGAATGGATGAAGGTAGGGAGGGATGGAGGGAGTGATGGATGAAGGAATAGAAGAAAGAATGAATGGATAGAGAGAGGGATTTTAAGAGGAATACATGGAGAAATGGAGGAAGGAATTGATGGAGGGAGTGATGGGTGGAGGAATGACGGGAAGAATGGAAGGAGGGAAGGAGACTGACAGAGTAACCAAGGGAGGAATGAATAGATGGAGGGAGGGATGGATGCAGGGAGCAATGGATGGAGGAATGGAGGGAAGAAGGGATGGATGTTAGGAGAGACTGATGGAGGGATATGTATGTGTGCAAGTGTTGGGATGGAGGGATGGAAAGATGGAGAGATGGAGGGATGAAAGGATGGATAAAGGGCGGGAGGGATGGAGAGACAGAAGGATGAGTGAGGGATGGAAATGTCTCTGAGAATGCACGAAGTTTCTGGGTAAAGCCTCTGGTTCCCTGTATTGCCTACAGGTGGAGCACACACACCTCACATCAGAAAGAGGGCCTCTCTTCCTGATGGGGCACAGTGGGGATGGTGTCGCAATGCTGGGTTGGGGAAGAGAGCTGAGGAGGAGGGCAGGAAGGCACCTACATGGAGAAATTGGTGATGAAGGCTTTCTTGGGCAGCTCCATCTGGAAGGTGGCCTCCTGCATAGTGTCAGCCTTGTTGACTACACGGCTGGTGACAACCGTGTGGGCAAATCGGGATGAGACCTTGGAGTCCACAGTGAGGCTGTAGATGTCGATACCATTCTGGACCAGTGAAGGAGGAGGGGTTTCAATGCTAGCCCAGCTTTGGGCAACACACGTCAAGAGTGTGCCTTGGTCCCAGACCAAGCCCTGACCCTCAGCCCCCAACTGAATCACTGATCAGGCCTCAGGATAAACCCCATGAAGCATTTCACATGTATACATTCCAGAGGCAGCTGTGTGCTTCATTCCCCCACCCTACGGTGCCATGGGGTAGGGGACCAGTCTGTCAAGCACACAGGGGGTGATGGAGTCTGGGAGGAACTCTCATTTATCCTGGCCCTAGCGGGATCAGGAAGCTTATGGTCTTAGCTCTGCCTAGTGAAAGAGCAGAGAATAAGTCCTCTGATTTCTGGCAACCTTGACCTTCATGGAAATTGAGGAAAACAGCTCTTGCCAGTCTCCCACCAGGGGCCTACAGAGCTAGGAGAATCTGGAGGCAACAAGGGTCCAGTCTCTAAAAGCTGGGAATCTTCTTTGTCCCCTTTCCCTGCAGCCATGGACCCTCCCCAGTTGCCCTGCCTATCCTCACAGGTCACTGACCCAAGCGTATGCTCTTCACCCCAGGTCTAAGGTCCCCATGTGCACACATGAGGAGCCTTACACATCTCCTGCCTGACTGCATATAGCATGCTTGTGTACACACCAGCTGTTTAGCTGTACACACACCTTAGCACAGAGGTGGGTGACTGGCCGAGTGGCTTGTATACACATGTGAGTGCCCGCTCTGTACCAGGCACTGTACTAAGCACAGTATTATAAATTTCATCTTCACAACAAACCTCTATTATTACCCTGTTATACAGATGAGGAAAGTGAGACAAAGAAAGCATAATAAGTTCCTTCAAGCGCAGCCAGAGAGAGGTGGAGCTAGGCTCACTAAACCCACTCCCACCCACCCCACCCACCGCCAGCCTCCGCGGCAACTTGCTAAGCTGCATTTCCTCACCTGGAACATGGGACTAGAATCAGCCCTTCTATCAAATGGGAGAGTGTCCCTAAAGCCCTCGGGACAGTGCCTGGTGGGTGGTTAGCACCAATTTCCTTGCGTACACACCGATCCATGCTCACATGTACTTACACTTACACACATACAAGCTCTCCTTTTCACTCAGTCACCAGCTCACACCACTCACACTCAGGTGCACACACAGGTGCCCGTGGCACCTGCTACCTTTTGGGCAGTGGTGGTCTGGAGGACAGCCAGCAGCAAGAGCAGGACCAACGCAAGGCCACAGGTCCAGGCAGGAGCTGGGGTCTTCATTGCGGCTCCAGCGCCCGGCAGGCTGTTTCTGAAGTTGAGAGAAAGTGGAGAATGAATTAGTAACTTGTTCACTGCCCCGCCCCTGTGGGGGCAGGTTCTGGGAAATTGGGATCTACAAGCCAAAAATTGCCGTGGCCTCAGATAAGCAGGCAAACTGCGAATGTCCTGTGGACCTTGGCTGGGGACAGGAACATGTACAGTAAGTCCTCAATGTCACCATCGATAGGTTCTTGAAAACTGCAACTTCAAGTGAAATGACATATATTTCACCCTTGGCTAATTGATATAAACGAGTTCAGTTCCTACAGCATATTTCTGGTCACAAAAACATCACCAAACTTCTAAAGACAGACCCAAAACACTTCTAATATTAAACATTGAAATAAATGTGAACTACACATAAAGAAAGATTAATACAAATAAGTGAGAAAATGTTTTTCCAACCCACCTATTCCAGTTCAGGGTTGCGGGGGACCAATGCCTCTCCCGGTAGCTCAGGGCGCAATGCGAGCTCCCACCCTGGACAGGCTGCTCTTCCACTGAGGGGCACATTCACACAAGCTCGAACTCACTCACACTGGGACAATGTAGACATGACAATTCACCTCCTGCACATCTTTGGGATGTGGGAAGAAACCGGAGTACCTGGAGAAAATCCACACACACACGGGGAGAATGTGCAAACTCCACATAGAAGGTAGCCCTGGCCAGGACCTGAAATTTTTTCATCAACCTTATAACCAAAGGAGATTGAATGAAACATCTGAGGACCTGCTCTACGGAGGAAAGGCAGGCTCAGGTGGGAGGTGGGTATTGGCGCCCCTTCTGAAAAGGTCTAGAACCCGTCAGGCCACCACCACTCCTCATACCAGTTGTTCTACCAGCCCACTCTTTGTAAGCCCGGCCTGGGGGAACAGAGGGGCGGCCAGGAAGAGGAGGGCTGGGGGTAGCTTCTGGGAAGGAGGAGCCTGCAGGCCAGGTCAGTGTGACTGGGCAGCGGGGACCTAAAAGCACTGAGCATCCTTTGGGGTGTCTAAGTGGGGGCAAGATTTGCTGTGGCCAAGGCAGGATGAATCCACCCTATTTTGGGGGTAGAGAGGCTGGGCCCAGGAGCCCCCAGGCTGCTTGCTGTTAAGGCCCCATTCATCTAACCAGGGCTCTCGGTTCAACTCCAGCAAGGCTCCCAACAACACAAGACCTGCACTCTGGCAGTGCAAACCGAGAGCTGAAGATGCCCACACTTTTTAGCCCAGAGGCCTCCCTCAAGGGAATTTACTGAGAGGAAAGCATGAAATAGAAAAGGATAGAGCTTGAAGGGGCCGATTCGGTGTGGTGGTGTGCATACTCAGGCGGAGGTCAGTTGTGCCAAGGGAGCCCATGAATTGCAACTTGAGTGAGAAAGGGCAGACCACTGATCCATAGCAAGGCAGTGCCCTTGTCACGAGCCCAGACCCATGGGAGGGTGGCCCCAGGGCCCGAGGTGGGATTATGAATGACTTTGTTTGACTTTCCTTTAATAAAGTTGAAATGCTGCTTTCATAACAAATAGCAATAAAGTGAATAGAATAAAGTGGCTCCTGAGTCGGTGGCCACAGCTGGGATAAAGATGCTTCAGAAGAGTGACCGGGTGCCATATCCTGGGTCGGGGGGAGTATTGGGTGACATTAGCTCTGAGGGGGACGGGTAGCCATCTTGGGGGCCTACTCAGGCCCTTTGAGCAGTAACTGGCTTGCAGAAGGCTGGGAAGGGGTCTCCTCCATTAGTCTCGCCTTGGTCAACACCAGTCACATCTGACCCTGAGAGAAGGGAATCATGGACTTTGCAGCTGTGTCTGCAGCCGCAGTAAAAGTTCCCTTTTGAGCTACTACAGCCAGAAGTCTCATCTATGCAGTTAGACTGCTCGCCCTTTGGCTGATATGACTTGGATTACACAGGGGATCTACCCTGTCAGCGATCCAGAGGAAGAGCCTGCCCAAGCTCAGTGTGCAGGCCCTGCTCCCACAGAAGGTCTGCTCCTTTGGGGCACAGAGCACGGGCCCGGCCTGGAAAGAGCTATATAAGGAAGCCAGGCTGGCCTAGCATGTGGGAAAGACTCCAAGCACCCAGCTCTACCTGCCCAGGGACAGGTGACGCTTCCCTGCAGGCAGAGCTCTAAGCCAGGCACTGCAAGCCCAGGCGCTGTTGGTGCAGACCCTGACTGTCGGTGGTCATGCTGTCACAGCTGGACAGGCCTCTGCAGCTTCCTAAAGCTCCATGCACACGGGGGACAATGAGGCCTGAAGAGGAAAGGATCTCACACAAGCTGAGAACCTAGTGTTCCCATGGTTCAGGTAAAGCTGTGAGAGTGGCAAGGGGGAGAGGCTCACCCTGAGTTTGGGAGAGGGGAGAGTAGCTTGGGAAGCAGACTGTCACTGGCCAGAGGAGCCTCAATTGAGGGATGCAAGATGGCATGGAGGCAGTGCAAATGAAGGTGCAAGGTGAGTGGGGGCTGTGAGGTCTCTGGCTCCTGCAAAGCCTTGGGATCCTTAGAAGTATCTCCATAGCGTTTGCAGAAGACAAGGAGAGAGCCCCATGCTCCCACCTGCTTCACTCTGAGTAGTGTCACTGTGGTTTGTTTTATGCAATAGGCTCCAGCTCAACTCCCTTGTCATATATAAGGAGAAACTAAGCCTCAGAAGAGATGGTCTGAAGTCACACAGAAAGTCGACGCCAGTATCCACATCCAAGGCTTTCTAGTATGTAGCAGTGGCCGTAGGGTACCCCCTAGGACTGCCCCCGCAAAAGCTGAGAAGGGTACAGAACGCGGCCCCCACTCCCACCCTGCCCTCCTCTCCCCTGCACTTAGGGGCCATGGACAGTGACCAACCAACACCCTCCAAATGCTGGGGCCACTTGGGCATCCTCTTTATTGATGTTTCTCAGGTGCTGGTGCAGTCCCTGGACTGTTGGGGTAGGATGGCGGTCCCAGAGGCAACAGGTGAGCAGGTATGTTCTGGCATAAAAAATGAGTTCTTGAGAAAGACTCCTGTGTCTAGGTACTGGCAGTGGTGAGGGAAGTGGCGTGCACGTCTCAGCCAAAGACACTCTTGGCGGGTCCGGCTTTGGGCTTCTCAAAGACGGTCTCAGTGCCAGTCCGGGTGCGGCTGAACACTGAGGGGGCGGCAGCACCAGCTTGCTCTGTAGACAAGAGTGGGAGGAGGTATGCTCAGGGGCCCAGCCTGGCTTCCTAGGGAGAGAAGGCCCCTTTTCTGGGGAGCAACCCCGAGACCAGAAGCTCTGGACTCTTAGAAAGGACCCATTGGCCGCCCCCCATCCATCCCCCCTCCCATTGACACACATCTGCACCCACCGCCCCCAGCACCTCAAGAACACTCACCACACTCCCGCATGACCTGGTAAGTCTTGGACTTGATCTCCTGGTTCTTGGTCAGGTTCCATCGGGCCCCCTTCAGATCCTCCTCCTTCACAGGGGGCCGCTTCTTCTTGATGGGGGTTTCCGGAGTGCCAGCCTTATAGAGCCCAGACCCTCATCTTACAACCCAAGGCCTTGAGGTTGAGACCCCCTTCCCACTTGTGCCTTAGCTGAGAAATCCTCTTCCTTGCTCATTGAACTCAAGCCAATTCAAGACCCCATTCCTCTTCTAGCAAGCCTTTCTGACTATACTTTCCTTCCCCTCACCCCCAAGTCTCTCTGCCCTTTTCCGGACCGAGAGCTCTGGGGCTGTGGCCGCTGTGGCCTCACACTGTCTGCCTGCCAGGCTAAGCTCAAGCCTGGGCAAAATAGACAAAAGAAAAAGGAATTGGCTTTGAGGCTGAATTCCAAGGCTTTTGGTGAATTCCAAGACCTGGCAGGGTTTCCCTTAGAGATTGCCACTTTCCCCCCAAATTGCCAGTATCTACCTCGTGTGTTTGGAGGCGGGAACGGGGAATAGGAATCAGATGCCCGTGAAGTCTCAGTCTAAAGTTACCATCCACCCATTGAGCGGGCAGCAAGGACAACCCTCCCCTTAACATGCTGGTCTACCTGTTCCTCCAGTGCTGGGGATACCCAGACTCAGTGCCTACACTCCCTCTCAATCCCAGGTGCCCTGGAGTCTGAGGCTTTACTCCTTCCTAAACCCTGGGGGCAGGCACAAGGACTCCCTGGTCCCCGAGCCTGGGCCAGGCTCCTGGGGCAACACACTACATCCCCTGCAGAGATACATCTTGCTGGAGAGGCACCAGGGCACAGAGTTGTACATTGAAAGACCCAGCCTCACAGGTGTATACACATACAGAGCTACAAACGTGCACTCCACACACCAAGTCATACAAGCAGCCTCCTCACACACAAAGGCACATGCAGGACCCTGAAGTACCACACACATTTTCCCTACTCCTCCTAACAAACCATGGAATATGACCAAACCCAAGCTAAACAGAGATAACCTTAGGATAAGGTAGGCCAGGGGCTCTCTTCCCTGATCCCCAGCCTCCCAGGGGCTGCAGAGCCTCCTGTGTTTATGCCTGGAGCTCAGCTCAAGACACAGCAGCTGGAGATGATGGTGTCCAGTTCTCCACCTCCCAATCACACCAACACGGCTGTGCTGGGCCCTCCTACCTGGGACATGGTGGGTGCTGTGGGAGAGCTGCTTCGAGGGCTCCTCTCTGGCAAGCAGGAGCTGGTTGAAGAGATCTGAGTGGTGCCCAGCCCTCTGGAGCTTATATAGTCTGCTTGCCTGTCCTGCCTGAGAAGTCACTCCCCCTGCTTCAACAGACTCCCCAGTGATTCAGGATCACACAGCCACTGGCTTCAGAGTTTATTCTGGGGGATGATAGGGGCTCGCTGAGCACTGCTGCCTGGGGGGCTGCAGCCCTGGCGACAGCAGACAGCTGGGGAGACCTTGCACCCTCATGAACAGCTGCTCTATTTTCAAGTGGGAGGTGCTGGGACTGGCAGCGACTTGTGTTTATAAATGTAGGTCCTGGAATGTGTGGCAGTAGGAGCTGTCTGCCTGCCTGTAAGTCCATCCCAGTGTGGGGGTGTCCCTGAGGAAGGGAGGGCCCTGAGCCGGGCTGGATTGCTTTGAGTTTGCTTTTCTTGGTCTTCTACCCCTTCCCTGGATTCCAGAGAAAAGGGACTTTCCATCCCTGCACAGCAGCAGGGTGGGAGCTTTGCTCCCTGTGGGCTCACTGGGCCCCCGCAGTGGACTCAGAGCACAGGGGCTACCCCTGATTCACAGGTGGAGAAACTTCAGCCAAGGGAAGCCTGGAGAACTCTCCATCTGAGGTTTTGCTGATGTCTTTGTCCAGCTCCTAGTGCACTGTTTCGTAAAGGGACGAAGAAGGCAGGGCATGAAGTGCCCAGGAGAGACAGGAGGAAACCATGCTTTGTGGTAAATAAGGGTAAGCTGACAGCAGGTAATAGCACCGAGCTGCACAGATGAAGTCACCAAAAGGCACCTGGCCTGAGGACATTTAGGTTGCTGAAAGAGGGTAGCGGGGAATGAAACCCATTCCAGGTATTGAGCTGTGGAGAGAGGTACAGGCCCAAGGGCTCCCCTGAAGGTCACTCAGTTTTCCTCTGCTAGCTCCTAATACCCCAAGCCTTGAAGGGAAGACCCCTAAGGCACATGGCAGGACTCTAAGCCTAGGATGGGTGTGGGGAGATGTGGGGAGATGTGTCTGCTCTTAGTATCAGACACACCCAAGCTCCTTGTCAGTTTGTGATGGAGATTATTTTTTAATGCCTGAAGGCCCCAGACAGAGGGAACCCAACCAGGCACTGACATATGGTTATCCCAAATGTGGCACCACTGCTGTCATATATCAAACCCCACCCAAATACCCACCTGCCTGGTCCTGACCGCGGGAGGCCAATGCGAGGACTGCCAGGCTCCATCTGAGACAAGTGCTGACATGAGGAATGCCTTCAGATAGCTATGGGCATAAACCCAAGACTCCAAACAGGGACCAAGAGACAATGAGGGCAGGCCCGGCCTGTGAGGGCCCAGTTCCCAGGGTGAGTGCTCTGGTGCTGCCCCCACAGCTAGCTCTGCCCAGGGAGGAATGTGCCTTCCAGCCCCATGGCCTCAATGACCAGGCTGTGGGATGTTCACTCCTCATACTCCATCTCCCAGAACCCCACTCTCCTCAGAGGAGGTAGAATAGCTTTTACTCACATTAGCAGGAAAGTAGAATGGCAAGAATGTTTTTTTTTTTCAACATCAGATTCTGGTTCCCACATCATCTATGAGGTGATATAAGGTTCATTTTCACTCTGTTTCCTGGGGAGAACCTTAAAACCCACTGGGGAAATTTTCTTGACCCCATTAAGCTGTTTCGATTCCAGAGAACACACAGTCAACAACCACAAAAGTGATGTTTCTTAAAAAAAAAAAAAAAAACCTGTAATAAGATGTCAAACTTTATTGTAAACCATTTTACAATGTAAGTACATCATCTTCCCTTTCATTTCAAAATTGTGTTTCTGTGAATCGTAACGCCACCAATTAAACACCCCCACTAGGCAGACAGTGGAAGTAGACTATGGTTTGTTCACATAGGTCTGATTGCTAATAAACTTCATGAAAAGAGAAATCAAATTAAACCCATCCACCCACCCACCCATCCAAGGAGCTCAAGGTGCTGACAACAATTGGACCAGAAGTCCCTCACCAAGAACAAAGCCCTTCAGAGCTACCAATGTTTCACAGGGAAAACAGAGTTCTCCCTTCCTAGTTGGAAACGTGTGAAACTTCTAAAAGCTAGCCCTACACCCTACAAGGCAGCTGCTCTGAGTGATGAGAAGCTCCCAGTGCCACCTACGTTGGCCTGCCTACAGAAGGGTCAGTGAATTGCAGTCTGGAGGGCAGAGTGGGCTGTCAGCCTATAGACCTGTCTATACTGCCTAGGGGAAGATACAACTTGGATTTGAGCTTTTATATATTTTCCCTTTCGAGGCATGACAGGTCGACATTAACCCAGGAATTCTTGCTGCCAGAAAGGGGCACAAGTTAAAGCTCAAGGCAGGAGGCCACCAGTATGCCTGAGGGCTAACTGATGGGTCACAGACCTTTGCCTCACAGGTCTTCAGGCTGAGTGGACCAAGAAACCACTGCTACTCGGGATCTCACCAACATCCCTCCTTATCCTTGTCAACATCCCACCGACGCAAAAGGAAATCAGGGCCACAATGATCTCCTCCATTCATATATGACAGCTCTACTTCATTAGGCTATTTCCATTAGTTGTAAGAACCTTGTTCATGACCTTGACTTACAAGTTTCCATCATGGGTGGCTTGGACAAGGTCCATATTTGGAAAAATGAGATGGATAGTGCACAGTCGGTGTCCCAAGATTTCTCAAGCACAGTGATACTTGCCATGTTGCTGAGTGAAGAGCTGCCCCTCATAAGGCACCTTGGAGCAGGTGGTAAGGAAATTTGCTTGAGGAGGGAGGACAGCTCAAGAGGAAGTACTGACACAGCCCTCTGCATCCACTCTTTTAGGACAGTGCACCACAGAAAAACCCCCTATGACAGCAGGAGGCACTCCCTGGGACTACAAACTGTGTGCGTGCGCACGCATGCACATGTACACACACACGCACACACACAGGAGGAGGGTGAGGCCAAGCACATGAGAACACGCTATCCAAGCCCACACAGCCTAAGACCCTCTATGATCAGACACCATCCGCTAGTTAGCCAGCTACACAGCTGCAGCTCAGAGACTAAAGCCCTTACTGAAAATCAGGATACAGGGAGAAACCACCACTCACTCGTTACCTCTTCATCCCTCAACCAAACCCACTGCCCAGTAGGCACTGGGACGAACCTTGAGATGAACAGATCACCTGAGGTCTATATAACCCAGCTTCCATCTTTCACAGACTGTGGCTCCTCCAGCCCGTCCTTAGTTTGGAAACATCAGGAGCCCTGATTTTGAGCTCAGGAAGGAAAAGGAAAGAGCTTTGGGCACAGGTTGTTCAAATCAAAATGAAACAGGAGGAAAAAGTAAGGAG